TGGGAAAGGAGTACAACAAGGCTGTATATTGTCCCCCGGCTTATTTAACTTATATGCAGAATACATCATGCAGAAGGCTGGACTGGAGGAATCACAAACCAGAATTAAGATTGCCAGAAGAAATATCAACAATCTCAGATATGCAGATGATACCACTCTGATGGCAGAAAGTGAGGAGGAATTAAAGAACCTCTTAATGAGGGTGAAAGAAGAGAGCTCAAAAAATGGTCTGAAGCTCAACATCAAAAAACAAAAAACAAAACTAAGATCATGGCCACTGGTCCCATCACCTCCTGGGAAATAGAAGGGGAAGATGTGGAGGCGGTGACAGATTGTACTTTCTTGGGCTCCATGATCACTGCAGATGGGGACCGCAGCTACGAATTTAAAAGACGCCCGCTTCTTGGGAGGAAAGCAATGAGAAATCTAGACAGCATCTTAAAAAGTAGAGACATCACCTTGCCAACAGAAGTCCGCATAGTCAAAGCTGTGGTTTTTCCAGTGATGTATGGAAGTGAGAGCTGGACCTTAAAGAAGGCTGACCGCCAAAGAATTGACACTTTTGAATTGTGGTGCTGGAGGAGACTCTTGAGAGTCCCCTGGACTGCAAGGAGAACAAACCTATCCATTCTAAAGGAAATGAACCCTAAGTGCTCACTGGAAGGACGGATCCTGAGGCTGAGGCTCCAATACTTTGGCCATCTCATGAGAAGAGAAGCCTCCCTGGAAAAGACCCTGATGTTGGGGAAAGAGTGAGGGCAGGAGGAGAAGGGGACGACAGAGGATGAGATGCTTGGACAGGGTCATCGAAGCTGACAGACATGAATTTGACCCAACTCCGGGAGGCAGTGGAAGACAGGAGGGCCTGGCGTGCTCTGGTCCATGGGGTCACAAAGAGTCAGACACAACTTAACAACTAAACAACAACAAGGGTCCTTCCTGCCACTGATACCATGGTTGGGATTGCTACAATTAACCCTTTCTCTTAAGACTTTTGGCCTTAAAACAAGCCCCATGTGCCCTGTGCATCTTCTTTCAGAGGCTAACAGCGCTCCTGGAGGCCTCCTAGAAGTATTTACTGGTAGCCTTGTAAACAAGGTGCATGTGCCCCATGCACTTGCCTTCTGCCAAAAGAAACTCTGCTTCAAGCAGTGCTGTTAGCTTCTGCAGGAAGGCAAATAAGCCACACGGCACTTCTGCTGGCATTAAAAGACAGCAGGGTACAAAAAGAGTTTCATTTTCACAGTGCTGTGGCCACAGTGGCAGTTAATAAGAGCAGCCTTTGTTTGGTTCAAGAATGCAAAAACATTCTCACTAAGTTCTGCAAAAGTCAACAAAAAGAGGGCATCTCTGGCATTCAAGGATCTGAAATCCAACACAATTGAAACAGAGGAGGGAAGGAAAACTAGTCGGCTAGGAGGCCAGGATAGATAAGAATATGCCTTTATATCCCTAACATATACTTTGACTTAGCAAAGGTTTGTGGCTAAGTCAGATTTTGAAGGACAGAAGACATTATGAAGGTGGTTAAGAAAGGTAGTCCCAGGTGTGGAAGTCATCAAGGAACGAAAGAACAGGAGACCCTTTTGTGGTTGGATTCTTATAGAGGCCTCTTCCAGCTTAATTGTTCTATGATTCTATGATTTAAAGGCGAAGCATTCACCTACAGGTGGCAGAAGAGTGGGCCACCAACAGCGATGACAGCCTAGACAGGTAAGAGGGGGCGGCCATGAAAGGCAGTTAACAAGCAGTGAGCACCAGATTCAAGAGCAAAGAGGAAGCCAGATTTAACAGATCTCTTTGTCACGCATTCTGTTATCAGGATGGTCCCCAAATCTGAGTGGTTAAGAAAGCGTGGCACACTTCACTGTGGAATTTATCCCTCCACGGGGTCTCCGTTGCCCCACTCCCGCACACTTCACTGTGGAATTTATCCCTCCACATTGCCCCTCTCCCATTGGATTTCTCTCCTTACCCTGCGTGAAATCTTGATTTTTTTGGTGCATCCGTAGAAGAGGTCTTCCAGGGATAGGTATAGGTCTCGCTCGATGGGCGGGTCCTTCTTCTTCACTCCCCTTCCCCGTAGACCCCCAAAGGCCATGTTCACGTCTGCCCCTTCTGCTGTGTAAAACTCTGAGCCAAGAGAAAGTGGGTGTGGTGTGTTTAGGGAAGTTTTTTTTAAAAAAATTCAGTTAAGCACGGTGGCCATGTAGACCAGTTGTCTCCAACCTTGGGGCCTCCAGATGTTCTTGGACTTCAGCTCCCAGAAATCTTGGCCAGCCGAGGTGGATGTGAAGGCTTCTGGGAGTTGTAGTCCAAAAACATCTGGAGGCCCAAGGTTGGGGACCACTGATACAGACTGAGTAATTCTGCAAACTGAAAACAGTGAAGCAACTTTTACAAATTATTGGCCCAGACCCTGCTCAGACTGATGGCGTCATTGTAAGGATCTGCAAAAAGGCAGAGTGAATCCTCATTCATCACAGGTTGCCTCTCTCAGATCTTAACATACACATTTCAACTCAAAACGCATCCCTCTACCAAGGCAGGCCATTCCAAATGGCTTAACATAGTGGCTCTCAACCTTGGGTAACCCAGATGTTCTTGAACTAAAACTCCCAGAAGCCTTCACCGCTCGCTGTGCTGGCCAGGATTTCTGGGAGCTGTAGTCCAAGAACATCTGGGTGACCCAAGGTTGGGAACCCCTGGCATAGCAGAATGAAACAAATGTTGTAACTAAATGAAACAAATGTTGTAACAGCCTATCCTCCATACTACCTTACCTGGGCTTCATGCTCTGGAGAGGACACTGCTTGATTCAGAGCATGTTACCATAGTCTCTCGAGACTGAAGGATGCCTATGTAACTAAAACAGCTAGGAGGTATATATCAAGAAGCGGTTCTTCACCAGGTGGCCCATCAGATGTACTGGACCACCAAAAGGAAGAGATGAGTTAGTTTGACACATCTGGAGGGTAGAGGATTGTAGAAAGCTGCTGTAATTAGGTACAACTGAGAGTTAACTCTGGAAACCCAATGGGACATACTTCTAAGCAAACACATCCGGTAAGAGAACAGGACTGCATGGGGGTTATGCTAGAGTTTGCAAACATTACTTTTCTGGGCTCTGATTCCCAGAATGCCCACAGTGAGTGTGGCCACTTGAGCTGCTTATTTAAAGTAACATTATCAACCCTTGATGTAACAGTTTGCATGGGGGGGGGGAACAAAAGAGAAGAGATTTTTCATCCAGCGACTATAACACCAAATTAGCACTTGTGTCTTGGGCCTGTGTTCCATAATGATGGGCTCAGCCTTCGAAATACTTTGCTTTTAGAAGACACCCTCACAGACAACCACAGCATCAATACCTACAGTAATAATAAAGCTCCATTTCAATCTCAATAGTTGGAAGGTATTGATGGGAGCAAGTGGTCAGAGGTGTCTTTCCTAAAAGGAGAGCAATTATCTTCTGCCTTTCATTTGCATGAGATGTGAACAGTTCACTTGTCTGATCTAATCAACTGAGATTGCTTAGGGTTCATTCATTTCTGGGCACATCTGGCTGATGCCGGATAAGAGCAAGATAGATTTCCAGGTTCTTCTTAGTGCTGGGAAGATCCCATTCACCAGAGAGTCTGTGAAGTTGCTGCCAGGCAGAGCAGAAGACACGGAACCGAACCCCAATTATAGCAGTTGACTCAGTGGAAGAGAGCAATGCAAATCCACAGGGACTGGAAACTTGGCAGCTGGGGAGCTCAGAGCAAACACACCCTGCTCAATCTGGATACAGGAGCTTAAACCCACCTGTAGACCCAACTGAGTCAGTGAGACGTATGTAAGTGTTGACTTACCAAGTCCCCACTGATTCAAAGAGTCTACTCTTGCTGTACAAGCCGCCACAGTGAGGCCTGAAAACATGTGCCAGATGCCTTCCGAGCGGCACTGGATGCCATGTCCATCATATCAAAGAAATCTCCCAAGGGGAGAACTCATAAAACCATGGGACCCTAGAAAAATTGAGCCAGCAATACAAAAGGGCTAGCATTGACAACATACAGTGCTTTGACCTACCAGCAAAGGGGTTGTCCCCTCCGAAAAACTCCCGGAAGACCTTCTCCGGATTTCCATGGAACACATAGCCTTTGGTCCAGGGAGTGTCCACCCCAAACTCCAAGGGAATCCCTCCTTTCAGGCCTTCTTCTGCAAATTTATCGTAGACACCCTTCTTCACCGCTAAGGAACAAGGCGACAATAAACATTCAGTAAAGAAAGAGACGGATATTTTCCCAGGCATTCATATAAGGTAGGCAAATGGAGATCTGGATCAGGTGAGGGTGAACGGTCATCCCCTTCCAATAATAGTCTTTTTTTCTCCATCTCTCTCTCTCTCTCTGCTTCTTTCCACCTCTCATATGCAGCTGTTCCACCCAAATCCTGTATGTTCACCTAAACCTCTTCCAGCAAAACTCTACCCCGATTTTAGCTCCTACCCATCATACAGTGTTAAAACAGACACAGGGAGCCATACAACCGTCCCAATGCAATACCATTCCTGGAAAGGCTTCTCCTGGTCAGTAGCCCTACCACACCCACCCGCCCCTTTCCAGACCCCTCTCCTGACTTGCAAAAAGGGAACCTTTTCACATACGACGAGTGCTTTCCATTATTATCATCCATCCATATATTCTGACTTTAAGTGTGCCCACTTGAAAGTGAGCTTACTTTAATAATAATAATAAAAAAAGACCAAGAGGACACAACCAACGGCAGGATCCTAACTGAATGGCTGGTGAGAAGGGGGAGAATTGCACTGAGTCGTTTCTGGGACGTTCTCTAACCCAGCTTCATGTTTTAACAAAGCATAACTTTATTATTAACTTCACCATGGCTTGTTGTTTTAGGAAGGATGCATAGATAACATGCTATGCTTGAATCAAACCATTCTGCAGAGCCAAATTATTTATGCAAAATTTAAAATGGGTCAAACTCTTCCAGTAAGTCCTAAGAAATTGTTTGTGCAAACATCGGGCATTTTGAAGGAATGACCAATGTTTGCACAAACAATGACACCTAAGCTACTATTAATGCTAAAATGTGAGGGATGTCTTCATCATTGACCTGACATTGATGATGTCTTCATCATTGACCCGACAATCACATACAACAGCTAGCACTGCGACGTGTGATGCCTTATTTCCAAACTCTGTCGAAGAGTTAAGTCTCTCCCCAATCCTCAGCTGTGACTCTCAGTACCTCTACCAAATTATAATGCTCTTGATTCTTTGGATGAAGGTTAAACTGGTACAAATATAAGCGGACACAGATGCATGTAAGGATGTGCCGTGACATTCTTTGCACTTGTGTCTCCAGAGACAGCCACTGCACCCTCGCCATGGGACATGCTGTAGCTGACTCTGTTTTCCCTATTTTTATTTTGGGAGTTGATTTAAACATTAGTCACCACTTTGGACTGGCTTCTGTCCTGGTGTGCTTTTATTTGCACTCTGCAGGACACCTGTGTCCTATGACCTGGGGATGGGGGCCACCGTTAGTGGAAGGGCCCTGCCTTGCGGGTTCATGGCACCATGTCTGACTCTGAAGGGCCAGGTTGCAGGGGAGGGGAAGAAGACCTCTCCCTGGGACCTGAAGGATCTGGTGTCATTCAAAGACTACTACAATGCGCTTTACGTGGGGCTGCCTTGGAAGACAATCTGGAGGCTACAACGGGTTCAGAATCCAGCTGTGCGGCTGGTGAGAGAACATATTCAGTTGATTCTGGCCAGGTTACACTGGCTACCCATCGCTGCCCGGGCCCAATTCAAAGTGGATGGATCTCCTGGATGGAGACCTATAAAGCCCTAAGCGGCTTGGGACCTGGATACCTGAAGGACCTCCTCCTTCCATAGGAACCTACCTGGCCGTTAAGATCTAGCCAGGGGGCTCTCCTGAAAGAGCTGTCCCTCCAGGAGGTGAGAGGGATGGCTTGTAGACAAAGGGCCTTTGCTCCCGGTCTTTGGAATGCCCTCCCAAATGACATCTGATGGACGCTGACGTGACTAACCTTTTAAAACCTTCCTGTTCCGGAAGTTTTTTAACTGAAGTTTTTCACCGAAGTTTTTTAAAATTAATGAATAGAGTCATGGATTTAGATGGTTTTTATAGATTGTTTTTGCTTTTATTTTTGCTCTTGTAGAGTGGATGTGGCCCTATTGGTTTTTAGTGTGTCTGTTTCGACAAGGCAGCAATCCATGAAGGGGGGCGGGCAGCATACAAGTCGAATAAATGAATGAATAAGTAAAATAAAATAAAAAAGAAGAGATCCTAGGCTAGATGGAAAGCCAGTCTGAGCTAGAGTCCTTCTCCATGCCCTTAAAGGCCTTGACCACTGAACTGTTCTAATGGATGTTGGAGGCCGCCCTGAGACTCTTGCAGAAGGCAAGCTGAATAAATGAATAAATAAAATAAAAAAGAAGAGATCCTGGGCTAGACGGAAAGCCAGTCTGATCTAGAGTCCTTCTCTATGCCCTTAAAGGCCTTGACTTCCCTCCAAAGAGAAACAGCCCTTCTGCCCTTGATGCTTCTCAAGCACAAGAATAAAAAGAAACCACCTTCCACTTACGATCACTCAAAACGTCGTAGGCTTCTGCAATCTGCTTGAACCTCTCTGGGGCCCAGGGCTCCTTGTTTTTATAAGGGTGGTACTTCAAAGCTAGCTTGCGGTAACTGCAAAACAAAACAGAGATGACCTCTCGAGATGCGTTTTATATCTTTACAGCTCTGCAGACACAGCGATCTAGTCTTGTGGCTCCACCTGCAGAACGGCCACCGCTGCTAGGTACCGAGTTCCTTTTTTCCATTTTGGGGGTATGTACTGCTTAGCTTGGGCATGTCGTGAGAACGGCTGACAGTTGGATTCCAAAAGATCTCGTGGATGGAGAATGAGTGCAGGGAAATCGCCCCAGAGGGAGACCATAGCTGCGATACAGGGAGATCTGCAAGTGGGATCTGAAGGCCTTAGGAATGGACCTCAACAGATGGGAAACCCTGACCTCTGAGCGTTCAGCCTGGAGGCAGGCGGTGCATCACGGCCTCTCCCAATTTGAAAAGACCCTTATCCAGCAGGCCGAGGCCAAGAGGCGGTCCTGAAAGCAGTGAAACCAGGGAGCTGGACAGGAGACAGAATGTATTTGTCTTCAATGTGGAAGGAATTGTCACTCTCGAATTGGCCTTCTCAGCAACACTAGACACTGTTCCAAGACTTCTCTATTCAGAGCACGTTACCATAGTCTCTCAAGGCTGAAGGATGCCTAATATAATCTAAATCTAACTCCTTGCATGCAATAAGAATGAAATCATGCACACCCCAAAATGGGAAAAGGAACTCTTTAGCTAGTGGCGAGTTCTGGTACCCTAAAAGTCTATTAACATGTGGACTGTTAACATCATTTTAGAGTGGAGCTATCTCAGTACTAGAAGAGATTTAGAACTGAAGATCTCAAAGTAAGTTGTCTTTGGTTTCAACTCTGATAAGATGGCCCTATAGCAGCAGGAGTGGGTCTCCTACTCTTATAATGTTATTCCTATTAATGGAATAGGATGCACAAATGCAAGGCACTGATAGGAATATCAGTGCCTTGCATTGGGGCATCAGGGCCCTCGCAAGGCACTGATATTCCTATCAGTGCCTTCCATTTGGGATCAGGGCCCTGAAATGAAATGTATAAACACCAGTAAGCTATTGCTTCCAACTCGATGGTTCCAGAAATCTCATACATGGTAGTCAAAGGCAGGAAATCTCATTCACGAATCATCATTCAGATAAACTGCCCCTCAACTGGGAGGTTCTACCGTGCTGCCATTTCTAATCATCATCGCCCTTTGCGACAAATTTTTATCAAGGGATTTTAAATACTAAAAATATTCAAATTACATACTCAAACATGAGCACGAAAAATTATGCATTTTATACAAATCGAGGCAAGGAAGACGCCTTCTTTCAGATATTTTTGGACTCCAATTCCCATCACCCCCAACCAGCCTGGTGAAGGGTCAGCCTGGATGAAAGATGTAATCCAGCATCATCTGGGAAGTCAACTATCCCAATAATGATACTGGTGATGTAATATTTTTATGTTGGTTCTTGAATGTCTCCAAAGGTTACCAATGATTTAATTGTCTGCTCTTCTAAAAAGGGATTTTAACTATTTTCATCCTTTTAAAAAATCTGCTTTTAAAATGGAGATACCTAGTGTAGTGTAACTGACGGAGCGACAGACTAAGACTCAGGGGCCTGAGTTCAAATCCCACTCAGCCACTGGGAATGTAGAATAGTTAAACCACTCTTTAAATAGACAGACAGACAGACGGACAGACGGACAGACAGACAGACAGACAGACAGACAGACAGACAGACAGACAGACAGACAGACAGACAGACAGACAGATAGATAGATAGACAGATAGACAGATAGACAGATAGATAGATGAAGGGGGAAATTGAGGAATGGGTCCTTTGGGTACCCAGTGTGGTGTAATGGTTAGAGTGACGGACTAGGATTCTGGGGATCAGGGTTCAAATCTCCACTCAGCCATGGAAAACTCCTTAAATATCTCACTTGCCTATTACGGTCACTAAAATTCAGTTCCAACTTGGTGACATGTAATATACCATTTAAAGTGAACAGCCTGAAGAACCCGCAGTAGCAAGAAGCATACAAATACGATGGATGGATGGATGGATGGATGGATGGATGGATGGATGGATGGATGGATGGATGGATGGATCTAACAACGGATGGATAGACAAATATCTCACTTGCCTATTACGGTCACTAAAATTCAGTTCCAACTTGGTGACATGTAATATACCATTTAAAGTGAACAGCCTGAAGAACCCGCAGTAGCAAGAAGCATACAAATACGATGGATGGATGGATGGATGGATGGATGGATGGATGGATGGATGGATGGATGGATGGATGGATCTAACAACGGATGGATAGACATGGATGGATGGATGGATGGAGGGAGGGATCTAACAACGGATGGATAGATAGATGGATGGATCTAGTGATGGATGGATGATGGATGGATCTAACAATGGATGGATGGATGGATGAGTTTTCAGGAGAAAATTGGACAACCCTCTTGTCATTTCTGCTTTGATTTGAATTCCTGAATGGACCAGGGGGTTAGACTTGATGGCCTTAGAGGCCCCGCATGAATGAATGAATGACACACAACGTGAAAACATCTCATGGCTTCTTAAAGACTACTAGACTTATTTCAGGGCTAGGTTGGGTCCACTTCCTCAGACACTTGGTGAAATGGAGGGCATGGCTTGTACTCCCTGGTGAAGCAAGGAAAGACCTTCAGGCCAAGCCTTCCTTGTGTGCGATTTCTATATAGATTGACGATGCATTCATTACTCCTTTGACTGGATTCTTAGCACCACTTCTGTTTTCCATTTTGGTGTTCTCCACTTCTCAGCGGGATATTATTAAATTTTTTGCATACGTATGGCTCTTTGCCTTAACATTGCCTGTTAATTGATGTAAGAGGTCTTCCTTGTTCATGGTTCATAATTTTTAAACATCGGCTTCTAATGATGTTGGTCCCCATGGCAGATTGACTCCTTGTTTTCAACTTCTAAGATTGTCTTCCCTGGTTTGTCAGCCACCTTGGGTCCTTTGCAAGGAGAAAGGTGGGGTAAAAATACATACATACATACATACATACATACATACATACATACATACATACATACATACATACATACATACATACATACATACATACATACATACATACATACATACATACATACATGCATGCATACATGCATACACACATAAACCCCATCTGTTGCCTTCCAGGTGTCCACAGATGATGATGATTAAAAAACTAATGTTTCCTGAAACAGACCGGTCTGGGCTCCCTCTTTGAGCAAGAAAATAAAGAGGGCCCGCTCAGGAGGGAGCCCAGATCGGTCTGTTTCAGGAATCATCATCACCATCATTATCATCATCATCTTTGGACACCTGGAAGGCAACAGATGGTTTTGACCCTTGCAGGATAACCACGACTTGGGGGGGGGGAGAGGAGGGAAAGTTACTTCATGGGACTACAACTCCCAGCATGCCCCGAGGCGCCCCTGCCCAGCCTCACACTCCCTCCCCCCTCCCCCCACTATCCGACGGAGCAGGGGGGAGGCTCACGCCTTCTTGATGTCGGCATCCTTGGCGCTGCGAGTGAGCTCCAGCACCGCGTAGTAATCCTGCCCCATGAGGATGATGAGAGGATGATGGCGGCACCAAACCCGTCTTTTCTCCTCCCGGGCCTCCCGTTGCTAAGGACGCTGCAGGAGGAGCGGGGCTTCCTTCCCCCCCGTTGCCGCCCCCAAACTCAGCCCCGGTGCATGGCGGGAGTTGCAGTCCGCGCTCGGGCGCCGTCTCCTAGGCAACTGGCTTCTTCGCGGCCTAAGCGAAAAGAGGCGCCTCTTGAGGCGAGGCGAGGGGAAAGGGATCCCGCTGGCTGGCGAAGGGGTGGCTGCTCTGGAAGGGCAGGGCTCGGGGCGAGGAGAGAGAGAAAAGGGCCCAGGTTTTGGACAAAAGCGCCATCAAAAGGGAGAAAGTGGGTTGCTGACACCAAAAAAAAATGAGTTTCCTGATTTCATATATTTTCACCCTGCCTTTCTCCTTAAAAGGGCCGAAGGCGGCTCAGGTCATGAAAAGGAGGATATGAAAAAGCTTTTTTTTAAAAAGGATACCAACATTCCAAAAAACAAGGATTATATTAAAAGCACTACATAAAAATCAATACAGTACTAAAAGCACATTAAAAGGAACTGAGCACACTACACTTCCATGCATTAGTTAAAAAAGAAAGAAAGAAACCACTCAGGCAGGCAGTCACTGAGGCAAAGCTTGCCTGAAGGTCTTCTTGGCCAGCTTGTGGAAGGAGAACAAAGATGGGGCCCGACTGGCCTCCAGTGGCAGGGAGTTCCAGAGTCTAAAGGAGCTGCCACCGAGAAGGCCCCTCTTTCATGTCGCCACCATCAAAAGGAATCAAGGAGGTGCACAAGGAGATGCAGTCCTTGAAGTGCAACAGGAGACTTTGTGCCTTTTGCTGCAAGAGACTAATAGGGTTACTTCCTTGAAACATAAAATTGAAAGAAAAAAAACCAACAGAACGGTTCCCCATAGGCAAGTATGTCAAAGGATGGTGTGTTTATCTATGTGTATCACTGATGGTCAGAATTTACCATAGGGAGAGCTGGATTAGACTCAGATAAAGGGGGCCCCCTGAAAATTGGAATAAACATAAGCAATTTATGATATGGAGATGAAATTTTGATACAATACTGGCGGAAGAGGGCAAAGACTTGAAATTATTCTCAAAGAAGGGAGTGCAAAAGCAGGGTTACAGTTGAAACTTAAGAAGACAAAATGTCACTATACAGTAGAAGAATTATGTATTTTTAATCTGACAGTGAAGAAACTGAAATTGAAGATTTAGTGTACCACATGACAGTTAGTTCAAATGGAGGCTACAAAAAAATTGAAGAGGAGACTGTGAAGGAAATGGAAAAGATCCTTAAGTGCAAGGGTGTATTGCTGGAAACCAGAGCCAAAATCGTCCACAGGATTTCCTGCTTACTCTTTGTGAATGGAGGATGAAGAACACTTACAGAAAAATTACTGCATTCAAAATGTGGTCCTGGGGGAGAGCTTTATGAATACGGTGGACTGCCACAAAGAAAAATTAAGCCTGAATTCTCCCTAGGGAGAAAAAAAGAGAGACTAAACTCAGGCCATTGGACTTTGGAGAGAACATGAGAATTCGAGAATTAACTGGAAAAACATTGTTACGGTCAGCCATAGTATTACCTGTCCGTCACAGCTGGGAGGGAAAATCTCAGCCAATGAGAGGGCGGAGGGTGGTGCAGAGGTGGGAGGAGCTGTGATATATAAGGTGTGTGTGAGGTGTGAGTGGGTCAGATAGGAGATTGCTGACTGGAACTTAAGATGAGAGAATGAGCTGAGGGTTAAAGTGTTCTTAGAGTCAGTGAGTCAGTGAGCAAGAGTCTGTGATAGCTAGTGCCTGAGAAACAGTGATTGATCAATTATTTCTTTAATAGTGATTTACCATTCCTTTATGTTTGTAATCAATAAACCAAGTTTTTGTTTTGAAAGTTATACTGGCCTGCTGTATGATTTATTTATTAAGGAATGGTTGGTGGCAGTAAAGAAGAATGAAGGGTTTTAAAGTGACGTGATGAGCTCCCTTTGTGAGTAGTGAGGAAGGCTGTCACAAACATCAATGTTAAAAAAATATGGAAGTCAGTAGGAAAAGATGAGGACATTATAGGAGATAGATGGTCTAAATTACAGAAGCTATGAACAATGGTCTTTATGTCACAAGACATAAGCTGAGCTGTTTTATATGCAAGGATTCCCAGTGTGGTGTAATGAATGGAGGGATGGAGTACCGTGTTTCCCCCACAGGGTCTTATATTAATTTTTGCTCCAAAAAACACATTAGGGTTTATTTTCAGGGGATGATTTATTTTTTTCAGGTACAACCATCTACATCTATTCAAACACAGTCCTGTCGTCATCTGGTTGCGGCACAATGGTGGAGGGCGAGGTTTAACTTCACTGGGGTTTATTTTTTGGGGGGTAGGGCTTATATAATGAGCATCCTGAAAAATCATACTAGGGCTTATTTTCAGGTTAGGTATTATTTTCAGGGAAACAGGGTAGAACTCTAGAGAACAGAGTTCAAATCCCCACTTAGCCATGGAAACTCACAAGGAAGTGGAGGTGGTTAAATCAATCCTTTACAGTATATCAATTTCCCTGAAAACGTTATTATAAGTTGCTTCCAACTTGACCACCCAGAACACACACACGTGTGTGTGTGTGCAAGCTTATGTACCACCCCATAATCTTTATTCTTTTATGAAGGTCTTAGGCCAGTGTTTTCCAACCTTGGTTAAACCCAGGTGTTCCTGGACTGCAATTCCTAGAAGCCTTCACCACCAGCTGTGCCGGCCAGGGTTTCTGGGAGATGCACTC